ACATTTTCTTTATCATCTTTGGTTCAATTCTTTTCATGTCTGTTTTATACAACCCTATTAAATATGTGTAGAGGAACAAATGAACTTTCATTCACAACCTTTAAAATACCATGATCCATCCTTTATATGAAAAACTTCATTTTCTCTCTCCATAAACTATACCCTTTCCCGTTAAAGAACGAGGGTTTGTTTAGTGAATAACTTAAAGTCATTTTTCCTCTTGAGACGATTAGTCCTTAACAGGAGTTAGGCTTTGATGCCACTTGTTGGAGAAGTGACCTTAGGTACAAGGGGGTGGGGGTGAGTGAATTGTGGTATTCAAAATTTGTGATTAATTTAAATATTCCTCTATTAAGATCATATTAGTAAAGTTTTAAGTGAGTGATTTTAGCGAAAATAAAATATTAAAAGTAAATTGCAGAAAGTAAAGAGATAAGGTTAGACAGATTGCACCTGAGATTTATACAGGTTTGGCCGAATGATGGCCTAGTATTGTCCCCAAGAGGTCTTCTTGAGAGTTTAACTATAAACTTTGAGATTTTGAAGGTTATGCCCACAAACATTTAATACAAATTCATCCCTCTTTCAAATGATAACTTTTAAGCCAGACTACACTATTGAACCGTTTAGAGATTCATGGTTGATCTCAATAACCAAAACAAAGCTTTTTCCAACAAAGCGTAATAAAACAATAAGAGAGACTTTATAAAGGCTGGTCTCAAGAACCAAACTCAATCTCTTAAAGGTATCACACCTTTAAGAATATAAACGAAAAACACGGTCACTTACAAAAGTATCATCCTAACAAGTAAAACTTCACTTAGAAGTACTGAGACAATTTGAAGTGAATAAAGATATTTTCCAACAAGAAAGAAAGAGATAAATTCCAAAAAAAAATGAAAATGTTGGAAAGTGGCATGGTATGAAGTGGGAAAGACCCTCCCTTATATAGTAGTTGGAAACTCAATGAAAGAAAACTATCCATGGGTTGAATTTATCATCTAATCGATTAGTAAAATGCTCTAATCGATTAGACAACTCAAATATAATTGATTATAAAGCACAATTAGGAAAGTTTGAATATATAGACGTTGTAAGTCATTAATATCCCATCCTTGCTTATTGTATAATCGATTATCATCCTTCTAATAGATTGGATAAATAAAAAAGTGTTGCCAATCGATTGAATCATCTTTTCAATCGATTAAATGGTAAGAAAATGTTTGGATAACTTTTTAATCACTTGTTCATGGTTTAGAAAATATTTTTCAAGTTAGAAAGGTATTTTAAAGTGTGTGCGTGTTTGTATGTGTATGTGTGCTTGTTTTTGTGTGTGTGTGCGTGCGCGCATGTGCGTGTGTATATGCGTATGTGTGTGTGAGTGAGTGAGTGAGTTTCCTTAGTACTCTTAAGCTACTATGTTACTTTTACAGTACTCGGTTCTCACACACAGATCGACATACATGACTTGAGGAGATTTCACACCTTTCACCAAAGTGTCTTCAATACTTTAATATACAATGTTTAATTGTATAAGCATTTGATATTGAGCTCTCTTATAAGTTGCTTTGGTTATCATGATGATATTTTTAGGCATTGTCATCATCAAAACTCTAGATGTAGATCTTTATTACCTGCAAGCACATAGATCCACATGATGATCATTAGAGTGATTATCTCATATTAGGAAAATTGTAGAACAAGCAAGATCTTTATCTGATTGTTGGTCGGTGTGGTCGACAGAAATCCATTAGGGGTCAATCTGACTGGCCCAGAGTATTTCCCATTGATGCGATAAACATGTTGAATTCTTACAAAAAATCATTTTCGCCCTTGAGGTGATAAGCACGTTAGGTTTTTACAAGAAATTCTTGTTGTCCATTAAGGCGATAAATATGCGGTATTCTTACAAGGAATCCTCCTCATCCTCTGAGAAGATAAGAAACGTTGAATTCTTACAAGGAATCTTTGCCGCCCTTTAAGGTGATATAAAACATTGGATTCTTACAAGGAACTATTGCTACCTTCTGAGGCGATAATAAACATTGGATTCTTACAAGGAATCCTTGATGCTCTTCGAGGCGATTAAGACACGTTGGATCCTTAATAAGGAATTCTTATCGCATTTTGAGGCAATAAAACCTGCTCGATTCTTATAAGGAATCCTTTCCGCCCATTTCGAGGCAATTAAATGCTTGAGATCCTCACATAAGGACCATTATCACCCCTTAAGGCAACCGAGTACGATGTACCTCTATTGGCGGGGTCATTATCTCCCTCACGTAAATTAAAAACACACTACAAGCAAGAAAAACCCTATATAAATAAGGAATGATACCCAAAATAATGTTATACACAAAGTGTTGTCATGCAAAAAAAAGAAGACAAGTGAGGCGACTACAAACATCCATAGAAAATGCATGGTACAAAAAGGGGCACCAAGGTACGTAGGAAACATCAAGGGACCTACTAATCGTCCATTAACTAGATGTTTCAAACCACCTTAAACAAGTATATCTGACTTAGGTCTGATTAGAAGCAACTAGTGTTTCCTCTATAAGCGACGATACCTCTTCCTCAAGATCTTATATGGAATCGGTGACTATTTTTTAGGGATCCCTTTAAACGTTTCCCCTATTCAGCATAAGCATGTGCTTCTTAATCCACCTTTTTGAGGAGGCCCTTTAAATCATCTCAATTCATCACCAAGGTTGTCATCTCCCTCTAACGTTCTTGGAGACGCCTTCTAACAAAGTTAATTTGGGATTTCAATTCACATTTAACATTCTTGGAGACACCATTGAACAAGGGAAATCCTAAAACAAGAGGGAGATGGAAATGTATATATGGAAAACAAACCAAATTCAATTTATAAGGAAAAAGCAAGAATACAAGCAACATATTTGACTGATAGATCAATAATTGCAAAAAGTAAAAAGGTTTTCACACGTCAAATACATGAATAAGAAAAAGGTTGGATTGAGTTTCCCTAAGAAAACCATCACAAGCAACATTAAATGCCATACACGCTATTAAGTTTCCATATCTGTCAAACATTTTGACGTCTCTAAAAATTTATTGAATGATAACGTAACACCATGTGAGACCTGAAGGTAGACCCAAACCCCTTTCACGACGCCCTTAATAGAGGGACTCGTCCCTAACTTAGGGACTCACCCCTAATTAAGGGACTCATCCCCCAATCAAGGGACTCACCCCTAAGTGAGTGACCATTTGTAACTAAGGGAATCATCCCTAATTGAGGGACTAACCTCCAACTGATGGACTCAAACCTAGGTGAGGGACTCACCCCTAACCGAGAGAGTCGTTTCCATCTATGGGTCTTGCTTGAAAGGTTCTAAAACTGAACGAAAGATAATCTTAATCAATTTTCCTATTACAAGTCCTCATGCTTGAGGGATTGTGAAAAGATATATTTATGAAAGAACCGCACAAGGCGACTCCTTTCCCCCCATAATAAGAGTCCACCCTAGAGTATGTCACATAAGCATGACTTTCACTCACTAAACAACTCACCCTAGTAGGAAAGCGAGGATGATGACATGGATATAGTCCATGACCACAATTTTCCTAAGAAGTAGGCATTCAATAAGGTTCATGGTCAAGGTGCAACGATTGGTACTTCTTAGGAGGAAAATCTCATATTCATAAAGAACATCCCTAAAACAGAGATTTTCATCCTTGTGAGTTGGCTCTACCACCGTAAAAATATTAAAATCTTTGACAATTATTACCTGTCAAGAGTTGCTACACACATGTACTTTTTTTCTAGCAAGTACAATAGACTAAAACAAAAAGATTAAAATTTTCTTTATTTCACGAGGACAAATAGATAAAAACATATTTCTTAGAAAAATATATTAGAATACAATTATGGAGAAATATTGATAAATATTTAGTCATATCTTAGTTTTGTAATGAAAGTGAACTTTATTGCTTTTTTAAATTAAAAAAAATATTAAATATTAAATTTGGATGATCTCATATCAATAAAAAAGTTATCAATATGCGTTGATTTAGTGAAGACGTTACTCGGTGAAGGTGTTATTTAGTGAAAGCGTTATTTAGTAAAAACACTGCATTGTTAATAGTAAATTGAAATATTGATGCGTCAACTTAACAAACACGTTATTGTTTATAATAGAATGAAAATTCTAATAAACTCGATTACACTTATCAATAAATTTCGATCATTACACTCATCTTCGTATCTAAGAACATTAGTCTCGAACTTTCGAGAAACCCTACAAAAATAATTACTTTAACCATTCATAAAAATAAATATTTAAGTTGAAAAAAAAGAAACACTTTCTTCACTCCCTCCATGGACTAAAGATACCATAAGTTTCATTTTGATCCAAACAGGGAACATCACTCTCTCTTTCTCTCTCATTTCAGAACTGCCTCTCTCTCTCTCTCTCTCTCTCTCTCTCTCTCTCTCTCTCTCTCTCTCTCTCTCTCTCTCTCTCTCTCTCCACCTACACTCTTCCACCCACTCACATTCAGGTGTCTGTACCCTCTGAGTGCCACGGCCACTACACTATCTTCTCACAAAATCACACCCCAAACAAACTCCAACTCACAGAAACAAACTCTATCAGCAAAATGTCAAAAAAACGCTGAATTAGATCCCTGCTTCCACTAGTTTCAATCCTGATCTTGCTTCCCCTTCTGCCATTCTTCTCCTAGATCTTCTACTGTTCTCTTCATCATCACTTCACAGCCCCTTTGACTAGGTTGATTATTTTTCCACCCTTTTATTTTCCAAACAAACATATATTTTTCCTACCTTTTTATGCATGCAGGATCGATAAATGTTCAATCTTTAATATTTGTTTGCTGTGTTTTAGGTTTAAAGGGGTTGTGCTGTTTCGTTCAAAAATGAGACCTTTCAGCTGTTTCTGAACTTTGGTTGCTCTACAATGAGGGTTTAGGATTGAATTTGTTTTTTGGGATTGTAATTTTCTTGTGCGGGTCTAATGGGTAGTTCTGGAGAATCGAACATCAATGGAATAAATGCTTCTGTTGGTGGTTTGGTTTGGGTCCGACGCAGAAACGGGTCTTGGTGGCCAGGTCGGATAATGAGTCTTGATGAATTGTCTGAGGGTTGTTTGGTTTCTCCGAGATCGGGTACTCCGGTTAAGCTCTTAGGTCGTGATGATGCTAGTGTGTAAGTGTCTCCTCTTGTTCTTCAATTTTTATATATTTTTTATTAGTTTTTTGCTTTTATTTTTTTGGTTGATAGTTCACAAGTTTTACTCTTAAGATTGTTGGTTTTGATGTTAAGGGTGTGCTTGAGAGTTAGGAGGGATTTAAGATGTAAAAGAGGGGATCCCTCACTTTGTTTTGATTCAAAAACCCCTGATTTGGAGGATTGTGAAATAGCTACGGAGAAGGGTTTTGGAGGTTTCTTTTTGGTAGAAAATCGACAAACTCGTTTCCTCAATTATAAAAACTCTCAAACAAGGGAAGAGCTTGCCATAAAGGCATAAACCCTCCCCTCTTAAACCCCCTCTCAAACAAAACTTAGAGTTTGACAAATTGGTAGGTTTGGTGTGAAGCAGTGTTGTTGATGGATGGAAGGCCAAAACATTGCCATTTAGAAACACAATTGCTGCCTACTGCGCTACCATGGTGGGCATCCCTTCACAAATTTCCTAGGTCGGTTGTCACAAAACCTGCCATGCCATTTCGCCATGTCCGCCCTTTAACTACAGCGGTTTGAAGAGAGGATGAATGGGGGACGAGAGGAGTTGATTTTGGCATGATAGGAGGCTTATGCTTTAGTAAATTGGGATTTGTGTGATGCTAGTCTAGCTATCCTTTCTTCTAATTTTCATATCTGCCAAATGCGCCTTTAATGGGATTCTGCTGTAGTTATATGATGCTGGCTTGATTATCCGAAGTCTTGCAATGTTTCCGACTTTATCACTAGCAGTGTGGTCAACGGCGGGGAGCCAAAATCCTGCCATACTGCCCACTTTGCGGGTTATGGTGGAAAAATCTGCTATATCGGTCAATAGTTACCATTATGGCGAGCCCTAAAACCACCATGTATATCTGCCATAGCGCTACCATGGCGGATATTTGATAACACTGATCACTAGAGTTTTAGCTTTTTAGTTTCTTGTGTGTGTGTGTGTGTTGTGAGGGGGTTGGGTGTGGGTGGTGGTAGCAGTGGCTGGGGAGTTCCCGATTAAAGTCCTTTTTGACACCATGCAATGGATTGTTATATTTGAAACAAATTTTTCAATAACTTTATATTAAAATGTTGGGTTATGATGCACCACTATTGTGAAGCCTTTTTGACAAAATGATTTACAGTTTACACAAATGATTTGGTGTTTCTGGTTATATCATTGAAGCTACTCTGGGATGGAATTTTTTTAATTTTAATCACGATACCTCCATCTGCAACAGAGGGATGTCCTTGTTTTGTGTTTTCTGTTCTGATATATTCGGAAACTATGCAACCATTGAGCACTGCTCTTAATTTGAATATTATAGGTATCTCTATTTAAAATTGTACAACCTATTGAAGTTGGAAGATGAATTAAATGTGTCCTTATTTGTTTTGACGGGAAGCTTAGGAGTGCCTTGAACTAATTTATGTTTATCCAAAAATATGATTGGAACTTTTTCTTTTTAATGTTTGGTCAGTTGTTTGATATGAGCTATTGATGTCGAGAATTGTGTTGAGGTTATTTTGTATCATTGCACATGCGTGGAAGTCACTGCCTTGCTTGAGCTTTGTATGAATGTTTTTTTTTCTTCTTCTGATACTGTTTATAGCAAAAGATCTCCCTGTAATATTTTGTTTTAGTTCTTTTTTATTCATGATTACTTTACATTCGGGCATGTTTTTGTATATCTTAATTCTTGAATTTGTTTGTTTGAGGTGTACAGCTGATTTATGTCTGCATAAGGTTTGATTTTGAAAAATACTTCTTTGTGGTGCAGGGATTGGTATAATCTTGAAAAATCAAAGCGAGTAAAAGCTTTTCGTTGTGGTGAGTACGATGAATGCATTGAGAAGGCAAAGGCTTCTGCTGCTGGTTTAGGCAGAAAGGCAGTGAAGTATGCTCGCAGAGAAGATGCTATTCTGCATGCTCTTGAGCTAGAGAGTGCTCACCTGGATAAGGTACCTTTACCGCTATGCTCCGGATCAGATAAATCTGGTAGTGGACATGGTGAATCAGCTGAAGAATTACCCGTGATCTCTAATTCTGGTAATGGCAATGAGGACGTGATTGATGATTTGAGCGACTCTGAAGACAATTCTAATTCAGCTCCAGAATTGTCACAATCTGGTATATCGTTTGAAGAACCTAATCATAATGGTTCTTTAAAGATTCAATCTATGCAGGGAAGGAGAAGAAGAACACCTAATGATTCAGAAGACGATGGAACTGAAGGAGTGAAGCGAATGAGAGGGCTCGAGGATCTTGGTATCGGCATAGTGTCAAAGAGAAAGGTCCAGGGTTCAGTTCCAACTGATATAGCTCAGCATGTTAGTGCTTCCTTTAACAATTCAATCACAGGGAACGGCTTGGCCAATGGAACTTCTGTAAATGGTGGTAAGGGTTATTCTTCTCTGAAAAGGAAGAGATCACAAGTTTCAAATGTTCACGAATTCTTGAAAAGAAAGAATCGACGCCGGCCTTTGACTAAGGTTTTAGAAAGTACTGCAATGCTATCAATTCCTGTAACTTGTGAACAGTTTCCTAGTTCAAGCAATTCTCCACTACACGGGATAACTAACGGGAAGGTTTCAGGATTTGATTCTACCTATTCAAAGAAAAGTTCTGCAATGGAAATTCACAATGCAGATAGTGCTGCTGAGGCTGCTTGTGAGAATGGGACTTCATTTATTATTCATGACCATGGTAGTGATTTTTCCAACGCTGATCTCAAGGAAAAAGAGAACGAGACTTCTGAAGTACCAGCGCTAGCTGGCAAGGATTCTGCTGTCGCATTATTTGATGTACCATTTGTTGGGGTTCTAGAGGAGGAGAAACCCACTCCAGGTACACTAGAACGTGATTTCTTTACTGTCTTCTATATCTGAAATGTTTTACAGTTCATTTTCACCTATGCTAATTGTATGTATGAATGTTTTCCTTTCCTGAGGTTTACATATCAAGAAACTCGTTTGGCCCCATTTCTAAAGCCGTAGAATATAGCTTGGTTATATTTCTTCTGTGCTGGATAATTACCTCACATTATTGTTGTAATTTCTTGTTTTAGGTTTGTCACCCACACTTGTTTCTTGCTCACATGGCATGCCTGAAGTAAATGCATTGGAGCAGCAATCTTGTCAAGCTAGTGAATCTGAAACTTTTCCATTGAGAAATGGTTGCAAGAATGAATCTGGTTCTACGAGTTCAGCTGCTGGTCACGATATTGTCGGCGATAGAGCAGACAAAGATAGTTCAAAGTGGCAGTCTAAAGGAAAGAGGAACTTAAGACATACAAGTAAAAACAGAAAACAAGTCTCTAGAAATTACGCGGGCATGGATGGCGAATCCGGTGCTTATTTAACCGGAACGGGGAACTCAGATGGATTCTGTCAAGGTGCCGGTCAGAAACAGAAAGTTGATTGGAATGGCACAGGTGTATCCAATGCTTCATACAACTGTAATTCTCAAATCAAGTCCAAGCCTATTGCTGAAGGTCAAGAAGCAGAAGGGTTTCGGGACCTGAGCAAGCATATCAGGGGTACAGCAGCAGAAGCGAAGCAGTTGCCAAACGGATCTCTTGCACCTCAGAGATCACTTCCTTATCGCCAGTCGCGCTTTACCATTAACTCGAGATATGAAATGGCAGATTTTCCTGGAAAAAGCTGCACTACGGATGGGACATTATATGATGTTAAACTAGAAGTTAAATCCAGCTACCGGCCGCAACACGTCCCTTTGGTTTCCCTTGTGAGTAAAGTGAATAATAAAGCATTTATCGGACACCCTTTGACAGTTGAGGTATTGGAAGAAGGTCATTGTGATAAAATGCTGAGCGGCATCGGAGGTGACGAAGAAGAAGTTGGTGATATCTATTGTGCAGTGAAGCCAAAACCAGTAACCAGAAGAAAACCTTCTAAGAAATCGTCGCGTTTTTCGCGTAGGAAATCTTCCAAGTCAAAGAAATCCGGGCTGTTGAATAAAAAAATAAGGAAGCTGTCTTCATTGACCGGTCACAGACAGTCAGAAGAAGAGAGAAAACCGGCCGTAGATAAACTCAAAGGTCCTGTCATTGCATGTATTCCTCTTACAGTAGTATTCAGTAGGATACACGAGGCATTGAGCGGCCAGGCACGGTCGTCACATCGTGCAGCATCAGCATCAAACCCATGAATCAGTTATCGGGGATGGTGCAGGAAATTGTTCCTTCGATATTTTTATTTTTTAAACTTTATCCAGAATTTGCATTGCAGCATCACACATTGTGCCATGAAGGTTTGAGAATCTTGCGTACAATTTTCAAGACATTTTTATGTAGAAGTTGTAGGAGTTTGATTCACATGAACGAGCCTTTCTGTTGGCTCTGTAAATAATGTAACATTGGATGTGAGGTATTTAACGTGATATTGGGATTGTTATAAAGTAATGAGTCTGGTTGTTTGGGACAGTAGTTTTAGATATTGTACTTTCCATTCTAAAGGATAAAACAAAATTGTAATTGTGAGTGGGTCACCATTTCAGTTTTGTATTGTATGGAACCTTGTCATGCCATAGATACATATACAGATTGTCAAGAATATTATCATTTTCTCTTCTTTTGTATGTTTACTTTATTAGTAGTTTCAAATATTCCATAGCTGAAGGAATTGAACTTTGAACCACCTCATAGTTTTAAGTCAACTTACTGAGATTGAGAATCTGAAAGAAGGGAGTGACATTGAAATTGGAGTCTCAAGTTATTGTGTTCATAGGGGTTCCAAAATCTCATTCTTTTGGAAAATTTGAATCTCAAATTGAATTATTATGACGGGAAAGGATTTTTTTTATCTTATAAATTTTCTTTAATATAACACAAAGGACCTCTATTTATGGGGATACATTGACGATACAAATATCATACCGAAGATCACATTAGTGGTGAATATTTTAAGTTACTTATTACCTCAGTTACTTTTAATAAAGTAATCACTTATTAAACACAAATGCTAAATCAAGACATATGGTAAGGGAAGGAAGGAATAGGTAAGAATTTAAATTAACCACTTATTAAATACAAATGCTAAATCAAGACATATGGTAAGGGAAGGAAGGAATAGGTAAGAATTTAAATGTGAGTAGGAGAAGGAAGAAATAGGTAAGAATTAAAAAAGATTTAAAGTGAAAGTGAAAAGAGAGAAATATGTATATTAGAGAGTGAGAGAAGGAAGAAATAGGTAAGAATTCAAAAAGATTTAAAGTCTTGTTTATTATAAGAGAAATAGAGGAGAAAGAAGAGTGTACAACTTTTTAAAAGATAAATTTTTTCTTACACAATATTATGTATTTAAATAATATGCAAGGATAAATATGGAATAAAGTAAACAAATGAGTTCTCTTTCTCCTTTTTCCTCATTTTAAGAGAGATTAAAAGAGGATTACTCTTTTCATCTTTAGAGGTACTCCATCACCATTGTGAAAAGTTAGAATTGTCTCTATCTTGACGCACTTTTTTTCATACTCTTTAGCGCAAATTTATGAGAAACTATTGTTTTGTTAAAATTTAATCCGGAGATTCATCTATGTATGTGTAGGAAATTATTTCAAAGATGCATACCCGTAAATACCATTAATTTAAAATTCAGTGGGTATGTGTAGGAAATTATTCCAAAGATGCATACCGTAAATACCATTAAATTTAAAATTTAGTGAGTGGTACGAAGATGCATCCCGGACGGGGTTAATACATTAACCCGCGCCAAAACCATTCTTTTTCCTCATTTATTTGTCTCAAAATTCACTAAACCTAAAAAAAAGAATCCAACTTGTGCTCTTACTCAGCCATTCAAGCTTCTCATCTACACAAGCTTCTCACCGTATTCTTCTTCATTTCCTGCAAAACCTCTCACTCCATTCAAGCTTACTTTCCACAACTTAGATTTGGTAAGTTTTTCAAAAATCATTCCTTTTTTGTGTTTTGAATGATTTTTTAGGAAAAATAAATTGTTTTAGTTACATTAGGTAGTGTGCAGTTGAAATAGGTAACTCAAATGGACATACATTTAAAGTATTTTGGACTTTAGGGTTGTAATGGCGTTTCTGTCATTTCTGCAAAATTGCAGCTTTGTCTGGAGATGCATCTTCAATTTCTTTTAGAACTATTTTCGGACGTGCATCTCCAGATTTGTACCTGACAAAATTTTGGTTGCATTTTTTATTTGCCTATCTAGTTTTATCATAGGTGCAATGGCTAAAAACAACCCTGGCATAATTAAGCTCGGTCGTGTGTCCCCAATCATGTTTGTACGGCGTGAGATGGCCGCTAGCAGTACCACAAGGCCACAAGTTGACCAAACCTCGTTTGATGGTTCATTGTGCTGAGGTTTCTAACCACCTGGTTCTACTTCATATAGCCGCCTATCTCAGGCATCTACTTTACGAGGCCACAAGTCCTTAAATAATGAAGCAGCACCTGAAGCCCAGGAGGAAGTTGTTGCTGATGCCCCTTTAGAGAGTTATTCAAGAGTCTCATTGGACACCTCCTTACTTAATCTCTATGCAGACCATGTTGCTAGACATGTTTGAGAAGGAGATGTATATTTATTTACTTTTACATATGTTTTAAACTAATTAAATCGCGACTATTGGTGATATTTTTGAAGGGAAACTGCGATCCAAAACGCAACGAAAATTAAAATTTTCCCTTTAGTTATCCTTATAAATGGGCATGATCAGTGATAAAAACAGTTACCTCTTGTGGCGATAAAACCTTTGACGATGAATCAAATGAGTGATCACGAACGTTGAATAATGAACAATTCCTCTACTCAGTCCACACAAACAGATTCCTTCAGTCTCAGTGCTAGCTGCTACGTTTGAAGGTTTTGAGTGAGAGAGAGAAGGAAAATACGATTAGGGTTTCACAGACCGAATTTTTATCAAGTGTGAATGCTCCTGCACAATGGTTTTATTCATAGAACCACTTGTGTGGGTTGCAAACTAAAAAAACAACTTAAGTGTACGTGCACCATATCTTATGGTGTACAATATATCACTTAAGCATGTGATACCTTACCACATTCCATATTCTACTTAAGTGCATCATACCTAACGGTGTTCTACATTTACTTAAGTGAATCTTACCTTACAGTGATTCTGATTTACTCTACCTCTCATCAATATGTTCTTATGTGTGTGACCCTGTAGGTTTTTGCGACATTGACAATTATATTAAATCACACATTTAACATAATAAACAATGAGCGATATTAAGCAACACATCACTGCTATCTAAGTCATGGAAATGTCATGTGATATGACAAAACCTTTTGTGATAATACTTGTTTATAATTACCGTTTTGCCACCGTGTCTATATTGAACACAAGACATAGACTGTGTCACCCTTGTCCATTTTATTATTAGGCTCTTAGACATTTATGCTGTTACACAGGATGGACAAATTCCATCTAGGTCACTCATGTCCCTTAGCATACTTTGTGGAGTACCCATCAACTGTCTTTATGATCATCAAGTTACAACACAATGTTTGATCAGTAATAAAGTACTCGACTTCATAACTAGGGTCCATAGTATTTTCAGGTCGAAGGGTGGTATACACCACTATCACCATGAGAGTAACTCACGACACTTTGGATATACTCTATGAAGTAATCCCATAGCAGGTCAATCCAGTATTAATAGTACTCTTAATATTCATACATATGTTAAGACTTGATAACTCTTTATCCATGATCCATGAGATCTGGTCATCAGTCTATCTACATAATAGTCTTAATGCTTTAAGGTAATCCTAATTCACAGTAAAACTCGACTACAAATACTTTAAGAATAATATCCTTATGTTTAATTATATCTCATGATTAAGTCACATTTAATATTTCATTAAACAGACTAGCTATTCTAGGGACTTTATTATTTTAGAAAACCAAACATAATAAAGAAATGTCTTTTATTGTTAATAAATAATTCGATACAAGTACCAAAACTATTGGCCTCTGGGGCTTACACCAACAATCTCCCACTAGCACTAGAGCCAATCATGCATACCTCATAATACCCGTAGATCTAGTATGACCATCATGCTTCTGCAACACAAGAGGCTTTGTTAGTGGGTCATCAACATTGTTAAGTGTAGGTACTCTGCACATCTTCACATCTCCCCGATCTATTATCTCTTGAATGAGGTGATAACGCCTAAGTATGTGTTTGGATTGTTGGTGAGATCTAGGTTTCTTAACTTGTGTGATAGCACCATTGTTATAACAATAGAGATCAATGGAATCTATAATGCTAGAGACTATGCCAAGTTCACTAATGAACTTCTTGATCCTAACAACTTCCTTTGCTGTATTTGAGGAAGTAATGTACTCGGCCTCAGTTGTAGAATCAACAACTGTTTCTTGCTTTGAACTTTTCTAGCTCACAGTGCCACCATTTAAGCAGAACACATAACCAGACTGCGATCTGAATTCATCCTTATCTATTTGGAAGCTAGCATCGGTGTATCCAATTACAACAAGCTCTTCTTGACCTCCATATACCAAAAATGAGTCCTTAGTCCTTCTCAACTACTTAAGGATATTCTTGACAACTACCCAATGAGCATCACAAGGATCAGATTGGTACCTACTCGTTGCACTTAAAGCATATGAAACATCTGGTCGAGTACATACCCTGGCATACATGATAAATCCTATTGCATATGCATATGGAATTTTATTCATGTGATTCCTTTCTTCCTTAGTTGAAGGGAATTTTGTTTTTCATAGACACGTGCCATGTTGCATGGGTATGAATCCTTTATTGGAATAATGCATATTAAAGCGTCTCAACACTTTGTCTATGTATGTACTCTGACTTAGGCCAAGTAGTTTTTATGATCTATCTCTATAGATTCTGATTTCTAATATATAGGCTACTTCACCAAGGTCCTTCATAGAAAAACATTTTCCTAACCAAATTTTCACTTGTTGCAAGGTAGTGACATTGTTTCCAATGAATAATATGTCATCTACATATAATACTAGGAAGGCGATCATGCTCCCACTAACCTTGTTGTAGACACAAGACTTATCTTCATTCTTTACGAATCTATATTGATTTACAGTTTCATCAAAACAAAGATTCCAACTTCTATAAGCTTGCTTCAATCCATAGATTGAATGATGTAACTTGC